TTTTTAATAACAATAGCAAACACAAGTGAACTATAAATCAGGCTACCCAAGCCCTCTCCTTCGCCCTCCACTCAATGCCACGTCCCAGTATTGGAATCCCAAAAAACAAAAACAGCCAACATTTGGGGCGATAGGCAATGGAGGGCACCTATTCACAGGCCCCTTTCTGGTGTGAGCAACATCTTGCCTCTACAGGGGATCTGCTGTATGGAATATGGGTTGAGTTTCCTTTGCTTTCTCTTCTAGGGCATCAGGCGTCCCTTGGCCGGGTAAGTGGCTCCTGCTAACTGCTGCCCCTTGAACTTTGTTATGCTGGGAAGGGGTCTGGGAAACAGGTTTGGTTCCTAAGCAAATCTCAAAGCTGCCATCAACTGACTCGGGCTCCCAGGACTCATGCTACAGGGGTAATAAAAGCAATGTAAACTTTCCCGCTTGGGCTGGAGCCCAGGCTCTGAACCCTGGTGAGGGTTGGTTTGTTTTTTGCAGTGTAGACGTACCCTAGTGTCCCTCTAGCCCCCTGAGCACAGTTCTTGCTCTTTTCAAAATCCTCCACTTTGGCTGTCTTGTCACGCTGAAAGGTGTTAAGTGACTACCATCAAGTGAGCCTTTCATCCAAAGACATTCCCACATGTGGTTAAAGCCAGTGGATGGCCAGACACTTTCAGACTCAATGGAAGGAGCAACTAAGCCCCTCTTATGTAGAAGTGAGAGCTACAAACCATGGAGGGACTGCCCAAGGCTCATGGCAGGGAAGATCTAAGCTGCTTGGGCCGAGGGGTGTCCCTGATTGCAAATGCAGGGATGAGGATATCAGTAGCAGATTGTGTATTAGAGGCAAAAAGCCAGAGGAAACCATTGTGAGTGTGAAAGGAAACAGAGAGACAGGGCTTTCTGGGCACAGAACTCCCTGGAAGGGCAGACGTGGGGAATCCGAGCAAGGAACTTGCCGGCTATTGTTTGTTTTTCCCGTGTTCGAAGGAACAGGACTTTGTGGGCATTTTTTGTGAATAAACATGATCACACTGAGAACAGACCCAACTGATATAATTGATTTCTCCTGTTAATGGAAATAACCCAGCAAGGCCCTGAATACTGGTGAACCACTCAGGCCAAAAGGGTTAACCATATCTTCCTGGGGCTGAACACAGAATCCCAGAAATGTTGAAATATTTTGTTTCGAGTCAATTTAACATTAATCTGCATCTTCCTATGCATCTCCCCTCATGGGAGTTGTAGTTCGGGTGCCTCGTGCCTTCATTTTTCTCTATGGGCTAGGCTCCCTGACTGGACTACATCTCCCATGATGCATCCATGGTAACGTGACTCCAGTGATGCACCACACAACAGGAAGACCCTGGTGCATCATGGGACATGTAGTCCAGCCAGAGAGCCCGTCCCAGAGAGGCGAATGGGAGCATGAAGCATCCGAACTTCAACTCCCCTGAGGCACCGCGACGGCTCAGGCAGACAGATTAACGTTGAACCGACCCGAAACAAAACGTCCCATTTTGGTTTTCCCAAAGGAAAACTGAGACAAAAAATTGGCAACTTTGAAATGTTCCTGCGGGAAATTTTGATTTTTCTGGAAACTGCATTTTGCATCAGAAATTCAGTTTGATGGGACGTTCCTGACCAGCTGTTGTAGAGGGGATTAGCTACTGCTGGATCTGCCATTTAGTACAGAGAGGGAGACTGGTCCAATGATTAATTCACTAGCTAAGCACTTGGCAGCCTTGGGTTCAAAGCCCTGCTCATCACAAACATCCTGGGTGGCCTGAGACTCTCTGTGCCTCAGTTTCCCCCTCTGATAAAGGCCCTCTGTGGTGGGTCAGTGCGATAGCCAGCTGGCCTAGTGGTCAGGCCAAGGCCCTCCTACTCCACTGGGTCCTAGCTCAGGTGTTGCAGTGTCCAGGCAACACATTGGTCCACCCCCAAGTTACGCTCCCATCTGGGTGGGTTCCTACCAGGTTGTGGTTCCTTTGTGTGGTTGCAGTATCAGCTCAGTCTGCCGGGGGGACACCAATGTCCCATTCCTGTGTATCCCAAAGCCAGACGGGACTATTGGGATCATCTAGTCTGACCTCCTGGATAACACAGGCCAGAGACTGTCCCTGAATTAATTCCTAGAGCAGCTCCATTAGAAAAACATCCCATCTTGATGTAAAACGTGTCCGTGATGGAGAATCCACCATGACCTTTGGTAAGTTGAACCAATGGTTAATTACCCTCACTGGTAAAAACATACATCTTATTTCCAATCTGAATTTGTCTAGCTTCTATTTCTAGCCAGTGGGTCATGTTGTAACTTTCTCTGCTAGATTGAAGGGCCCTTTATTAAGTATTTGTTCCCCATCTAGGTACTTATAGCCTAGGACCAAGTCACCCTGAACCTTCTCTTTGTAACACTAAATAAATCGGGCTCCTTGAGTCTATTACTACAAGGCAGATGTTCTAATTCTTTAATCCAGTGGTGCCCAAACTTTTCCTCTTGTGCCCTCCCCCCTTACCAATAATGGAATGTGTCCGTCCCTCCCCACCCCCAAGCCAGGAGCTCTGTGCCCAAAAAGCTCTATCTCTCTGCTTCCCCTGGCTTTCAGCCTCCAAGACACACATGCTGCAACCAGCCTCCTAGCCCCTGCGTCTGCAAACCCTCGGCCCGCACAGCTTAGCTCCGCTGATGTGAGGGATCTCAACTCTCGAATCCAGGTCCGCAGTCAGTCCTCAGACTGCAGCCACCACCCGGCAGCTCGCTGGTACCAGCAGGGAATGTGGGCTGGCAGACCCTACTTCACCAGATGCTCTGCCCACAAAGCTCCTGATTGGAGGAGATTTCCAGCCTCTCTGATTGGCTCAGACTCACTATTTAAGCCAGATGGAGGCACAGGAAGTTGTCTGAGTGGCTAGGTGAAGCTGTAGCTGGCTGGCCTTGTTCCAGATCCCTGTTTCTATGCCCCACTCCTGGCTACTGACTCTGGCTCTGACCCCAACTCCTGCTTTGACCCCCTAGGCCTGACCATATATGTCCCAGTACACAACAGTCATGTGCCTTGGGCGGTCCCTCCATTGTTTGTAGCTCTCCCTCTTGAATAAAGGGACTTAATCATAGAATCATAGAATCATAGAATATCAGAGTTGGAAGGGACCTCAAGAGGTCATCTAGTCCAACCCCCTGCTCAAAGCAGGACCAATTCCCAGCTAAATCATCCCAGCCAGGGCTTTGTCAAGCCGGGCCTTAAAAACCTCCAAGGAAGGAGACTCCACCACCTCCCTAGGT